TAAAGAATTATCATTTAAATCGAAATTTATCCTTTCATCGGTAAGTATTTTTAAGTTAAGATATGTTGTTTTCATTTGAACTAGTGGAGTAGGGCATCCGTCTTAAGACTGTTTAGACTATACAATTTCTTGTACAAGATTTGATAGAATTTCTTATAGAATTTAAATTGTATAGGATCACATAGTAAATTGTTTGAAAAATGATTATCCAATCTAATTTTTCAGACAATTTACTGCAGGTTTGATAATATACAATTTAAATTGTACAAGAAATTTTATCGAAAACTTGTGTAGTCTAAAACAGTCTTAAAACAGTTTTTAAAGTGATATTCCTTTTATAAATTAGTAAATTATTCTTATACCAATAAATAATTATGGAATAGTGGCAAAGAAAATTTAACGTAAAATGTAGAATACCTTAAAAATGGTTTACCTATTAGGCATATATACATATTTTTTAATATTCTATTTAGGTTTCCGCAAGATCCTGAGAAAAGTAAACTTTCTTTTTCTCTGGTAGGGATCCTTGAAAATCAGCACCTTCGTAAAAACCCAAAGTTGTGTTCAGAACACCTTTTTCCTGAAGATGTTTTGGTAAGTGCAAATGGTGTTAAATATATCAGAAAAGATGCAAACCCCAGATGGTGTGAGGGCTTTCTATTTTTGGATGACTTATCCAACAGGTAAAAATACAAAATATTAACTTTTTGTTTACCTCTAATTTAGAGGTAATAAATAAATAAATAAATAAATAAATAAATAAATAAATAAATAAATAAATAAATAAATAAATAAATAAATAAATAAATAAATAAATAAATAAATAAATAAATAAATAAATAAATAAATAAATAAATAAATAAATAAATAAATAAATAAATAAATAATGTTAAGAGGCTCTAAACATTATTTATTACCTATATGTATGTATATCTAATGTATGGGTTTTTAGTTCTGATTCAACTGTTTTTGGAACACCACCTGCTGCAAAAAAACATTGCAGTAAGTAATAACACTAATAACTAAGCATACAAAAATTAAGTGAAATTTTAGTTAATAAAATTAAGGTACCTAATATATTTAAAACGTAATTTTAAAAATTTTTACTGTTTTTTACGATATTTTTTGCCATACCATGTTTTTATTAATTAAAAAATTATATATTTTTAGGACAGTGTTTTATTTAGATACCCCTACTTACTTAATGTTAATTTTAAATAATTTTGGTTAACATCATACCAGGCAAATATATAGTAAATATCAATAAACTATAAACCAATAAATATTAAAAATCGGAAGGTAACTTGAATTCTCTTGTATTTGAATTTACTTGTACTTGAATTTACCTACATGAAAAAATCATAAATATATGTTATATAAAAAATTCACACTATATATTATATAATAGTAAATTCTCTAGAGTTAAATAATGCTTAGTTGCAATTCCTAGAATGGTTATCATTGACCTCCAGGATTATATTCAGCCAAGTTGCATTTCTTGTAAATGCAACACTTTTGTCACATTACACCTTTTAGATATTTCTTTTGTTTTAGCTATGTTATAAATAGGGGTGACACAAACTTAAAAGTTAGTTATAACAACTCACCTACAACAAACACATTATACCTTTTAAGTAATAAAATATTTTTTTAAAAAACTAATAGTGTTATTCAAGATATAACAGTGGCGCAGTCAGTAGGATTCCTCAACACATTTAGAACACGGGTATCCTAACTAAGTGTGGTGGTTTCCTAACCTTTAAGGAAGAACAACGCTCAAAGAAACATTTCAACTACTGTGGACGGTCTCTCCGGCATCGGGAACACGCAATTGGCCCACCTGGTGTAGCAACGCTCACGGAATCTGATTTCATCTAAGTAGACGGAAATGAAAACATCATTCACGTAAGAATCTCTCTTTCGTTTTAATATTTTTTGTGAAACAACATTTTTACGTTCTATTATCATATTTTTGTGAATATTTTTCTAACAAGTTAAAATGCCTGAAACACGTCAATCCGCAGCAAATAATAACCCTCAAGATCCAATTCCTTCTGTTGAAATGTACAAACTTTCAGAAATCTTTTCAATAGTACTTAGTAAATTTTCTTAAATAATTTCATAAGTGCTTGCAAAACTGCCATTCGTATGTGCATAAATGATCAAAAAAAGCTTCTAATTCTTCATATAAAAAATAAATTAAAAGGTAGAGCCTCTGAATTAATAAATTCACGAGATCCTAATTCATGGGATGATATAAAAGATTTGCTAGAAACACATTTTTCCGATACGCGCGATTTAAATTCACTCATCCAAGATTTGCAAAGAATGCGTTAGCTTTCAAACGAAACACCATTTACTTTTATTGCGCGTTTACAAACGCATGAAGCCAAAATGCATTCTGCAATTGGTAAACAGTCTTTAACCGTAGAACAAAAAACCGCACAAGCTCGTCTTGTGGAATCATTAGTTTTAAATACTTTGCTAACAGGATTAGATCCTAAAATAGGACATATTGTCAGGGCAAGTAACCCTACAAATATAATTTCAGCCGCAACTAGAATAAAACGTGAACTTCAGTTAAGTTATTTTGAATTTCAAAAATTCCAAAAAAACAATGCCAACCTAGCTTCTAGTTATAATCTTAATACACACAAACAAACTCCGCTTGTCAAACAATGTTCATTTTGTAAACGTATTGGCCATACAATCAATGAATGCCTTACTAGACAAAGACAAGCTCAAACTTTCAGAAACAATTCTGCACAGAATTTCCCGAGCTCTTCTGGCTCAAACCAAACTCAACCTTTCGAAAATAATTCTTATAATGTACAACGAGGAAAAGCGCCTCAAATTCAAAATCGTGAATCAGTTATTAAGCCTAATTCTAATGTAAATTATAGTAGACCATCCGTTACACAATTAAACCCGAATTTTAATCAAAACAATCAAAGAACCTTTTATACACAATCTAACCCGAATTTTAATCAAAACAATCAAAGAAACTTTCATACACAATTTAACCCGAAATTTAATCAAAACAACCGAAGAACTTTTCATATCAATTCCGACCAACCTCAAGAATATGTAGATGATTTTTTCTACGACGCATATGTTTTAAATAATGAAGAAACATTTAATAACTATTATACTGCTAATATTTTAGAACCACTGGATTATTATTATACCGCTAATAATCACGACCAGGTTGAACTGTGAAAATTCGAATCTAAAGAAAATCTCAATTCTTAAGAACTCAATATTCACCTTGCAATCAGGTTGTTTCGCTTTTATCGGGGTAACAAAAGTGCAGACCGGTTCAAAAAAACACTTTCTAATATCGTATACGATCCCGAACCCGTGTCAATAGACTTCGAATGTTGTGATGATATTCCAAATCTGCCCAATTTAAAACCACTACAACTGGCAAATCTTAACGTAAACGATTTAGCAGTCACCAAAAACCAATTGGACCAGTACTCAAAAGAAATTGACGACCTCATCAATAAACCCTTCGTGGAGAAAAACATTTCTTGGTTCACGTACTATACCATTTGTCTCATCATAGGACTGGCAGTCCTATACCTGCTTTACCAGTTTTGGAAATCTCGAAAACCAACACCACAAAACGACCCTCCGAAGAAAAGACCCAATTTATCTGAAGAAGACACCGTTAAAATAGACGAAACACAGAATATTGAACTTTTTTGATTACGTTAAATATCATTTACTTTTATTATTTTACTTCTTATTTTCTATAGTCTTTGTCTTATTTAAATACTAACTTTATTATATTTTTATACTTTTTTTTTCTTTCAAAAATTGCTGTATAACATCAATTTTTTTTTGTAAAGGGGAGTTGTTATATAAAAATTCACACTATATATTATATAATAGTAAATTCTCTAGAGTTAAATAATGCTTAGTTGCAATTCCTAGAATGGTTATCATTGACCTCTAGGATTATATTCAGCCAAGTTGCATTTCTTGTAAATGCAACACTTTTGTCACATTACACCTTTTAGATATTTCTTTTGTTTTACCTATGTTATAAATAGGGGCGACACAAACTTAAAAGTTAGTTATAACAACTCACCTACAACAAACACGTTATACCTTTTAAGTAATAAAATATTTTTTTTTAAAAACTAATAGTGTTATTCAAGATATAACATATATTACTAAAAAAATATACCTACTTATTTACGTATTTTTTTAACATACTACTCTGACTCTGAGACTCTGACAATACTGGTAAGTTTAAAACTCTACGCCACTGGCGAGCATATTATGGACACTGTTTACAACGTTGCCAGCCGGTCCTAAGAGATCTATCTTTCTCTCTTCTACTCACTAACAATTTTAAAACAATAAAAGTCCGCAATTGTATGGGATTTATGAATGAAACATTTTGTCTCTACGTTGTAATGTCTTTGGAAGAAACTTTATTATCCAAAGAATGAGTATCAGAAGAAATATCAGTTTTTAAAGAATATATCTTACTTACCATATCAGAAGAAATTTTAGCAGAAGATGAAACAGTCAGTAAGAGGAAGGAGTATATGATTTTGCTATTTTGGTTGAAAGACCTTTTATTTTGAGGCCAGAGGAAGGAGATTTTGAGGATTTTTTTGTATGGGCTCCGCGAAGAAATGGGAGGGACCTGGCAAGAGGCTATAGTAAGGAAGATTTTGCTCGGAGGACTTTTTTTTAGAAATGTGTTAGGGCTCCGTCAAATATTTCGCTTTTCAAAAAGGTTCCGTCACCAAAAAAGTTTGAGAACCACTGATATAGAGGAATACCAGACCTGCATATGGAGGATGGATACTTTGCCTTTGACTCTTAAATGATTTGGAATTGTTTTTGATTTAATTGTTCAATAACTTTTCTTTAATTTTAAATTATTTTTTATTTTGTAATTTTTTTAATATGCAATTTTATTGATGAGCCATAAAATGTTCGTTTTCTAAGGCAAATAAAGATTATTATTATCATCTTACCAAATGATCTAGCTCCTCCTGCAACAAATTTGAACCCTCTTGGCTGGTAAATCCGTTTGCTGGTGATGATGATTGGCTGTTATTCGAAACTGGGGTCACCGCAAAATGACTTTCGAGAGGGGATTGTAGTTTAGTATCTAAATTATTACTTTTTTCTGGAGTCGATTGTTGAAAAGTGAAGTTTTCATTTGTGATTGTTAAAGGTTCAGTCTGATTGTTGTTTTCTGTTTTTGCCTTACCTGGTTTAACAAAGCCTATGGGATAAAAAAGAATAAAATTAATAAAGTTCTGCATTAAAAAATTTGTATATAAAGACAATCACTATTTTTATTTCATTTATCAATGTTTAATAATATGAAAAGTGTATTTCACTTACCGGTTCCTGCAGTTCTGTTATTTCTCCCTAACCTAACTTGCATCTCCCGATTCGGGCACCCGAAATCGAGTACCCCAATGTTTCCAAATGTCAAGTAACCACAATTATGTTCCAAATCAACAATTTCTTGCAAATATTTAACAGCTCTATGTTCTCTAAAGCTCACATCTGTTGGCTGCTCTTTGAGCCTATTATCTTTGACTTTCGAGGGGGTGATTGGTTTAAAAGGAAATGGAATAATATGAGTTTGGGCGGGTTGGTGAACCCCGTAGGCCTGAATTAGGACGGGAGAAAACTGGAGTGTTGCATTAACATAAAGGATATTAGCAATGGGTATAACGGCAGGTTCGTGAAGCCATGAATGGACTAAAAGGCGAGTAAATCCGAGAAATATACGTGGTAATTGATTTACAGTTGTCCCTAAAAATAAAAATAAGTTTATAAATATTATTTGGATTATCTTAATCTGTAATATTTTTTCATAATAAATAAAGTGTTTACCCTTTACAAGAAGTAAAGATGGTGGTCCGTAACCAGTCACGTGGTATAAAAATAGTTTAAACCATAATGTGTTCACTTCAGGTACAGCTGGTCCCAGATGAGGAGGTAGAAGACTAGTTACTGGCCTAACTTCTCTACTAAGAGGGGCCATTGACACCAGTAACCTAGTAGTCAAACAGTACAGTCATTTTGTAATCTTTTTTATGAAGATGTTTTATTAACAAATTATCATACGAATATAATTAGTCCACAGTTTTTATCTGCAGTCTTATTGAAATACATGTAGATTAAAATAGGTTAATCTATAATTAAAAGTTGAAAAGTTATGTTAAATCAGTCGTACGCCATTGAGAGAAGCCACAAATCCGTTCCCGCAAAAAAAAAACCTGGAGGGGGGTAACCCGGCCAACTGTTATTTCAATTTCAACGCGCTTGCCAGTTTAACTAGTTTAGTCGTGAGTCTGTATTTTATTTTTATAAAAATTTGTTTTATTATTTTAAAAACTGACAAACCAGATATCAAATGTTTCTTGGCACTATTTTAATAAGCACAAAACTACGCAACTTTTGTCAAATTTAACCAACTTTCTGTTACCATTTAAGAAATAGCAATCCTGTCTCTGGCTCAAGAGCTAGGAGGTGCCTATCTACTTAGGAGGATACACAATGGGCCTAGTGAGTCCTAAGTGTCGTGGGTTAACTGAAATGGTAGGGACCAGGCATATACCTAGTAGAGAAAATAAGGCCCTTAATGGAGGAGAGGTTATTTAGAAAAGGCATATTGCTGCAGAAACAAAATTCTTTTTAGTTGTGTTATTCACCTTATTTGAAAGGTTCATACCTAATGTCAAAAAATTCAACTTTAATGATTTGATATCGAATTGACTACTCTAAAGCTATCGATTTATTTGATCGAGTTTATTGTCGAATTTTGTATTGAATTGCAAATATGGAGTTTGATATCAAATTCAAGTCGAAGATTTCCGAAGTCAAAACAGATAGACTATAGAGGTCGCCGAGGACTAGAAAAGTATTTCCATGTTCTACAAGGTAAGAATGAACGAAATAATTGTATTTTTGCCTTGCGCAAATAACACACCTAAAAGTGTCACTGGCTCCCCTAGCAATAATAAAAGTTAAAAAATACATTTACGGATGTGTAATTGGAATTTGGAGTAGGAAACATAACAACAACAAATTGTTAAATTTAACAGGAAGTAAGATTTGCGCATGAGTAATAGATATCATTAAGGCCGCCATTTCAGTGTATTTTACATGGTAAAAGCAGATGTTTACAATTATTTACAGAACTTATCTTTAACTGGATGAATTTTAGTGAAACTTTGGTAGCTTATAGTAAAATGTTTAATGATTGCAATGAGACATTTTCATTTGTCCTGCTAATTATTAAATATTAAAAATATAAAAAAGTGCTAGTCATAGATGCAGTTCAAAAAACTTTACAGCATTCTACATATGTTTTTGAATATTCTTGCCAAATTTTAATAAGAAATCAAATTACGATTTCATGTAAAATTGATAATTTTGCTGCGTCCATATTGAATTTTAGTTCAGGACCTAAGTTATAGGTGGGAATCATGGGGATATCACTGCTTCTTATGAAGTCATATTTACTCAATAGACATACAATTTGTCACATATTTTAACGATAACAATAGTCTAGTTAAATCAGATATTAAATCTATAAAAAAAGGTGTGCCACAAGTTTCCATATTGGGTCCTTTACTCTACACACTATACGTAAATGAACTACTAGAAGTTGTTAATGAAATTTTAGTTCAATATGCCGATGACACCTCACTGATTTTTAGTGAACCAACACTTGATTTATGCAAGGGAAAACTAAATTCCACATTAAATACATTAGAATATTGGTTTAAAAACAATAATCTCCTGTTAAGGCGGCGTTAGCAAATGTATTAGCATAGGAGAATTTTTCAACATATAAGACGGGCTTTCTAGACAATGAATTTATGCGGATTTGCTTTTATAATATTCTAATAGTATTGAACTAGTTCCTGAATATATTTTAAAGTGGAAAAAAATTGAGAGAATGAAGAAAATAACGAATTTGTGAAAATTTTACATGTAAAAAAGTCATCATAAATCGCTATAAAAACTATTTCAGGAACTAGAATATATTCCCATTAGAGGCTCCGCATAAGAAATATTTCATTTTTTGCTTTCATTTTCCAGTCTTATATGCACAAAACTTTTTAATTTTAACCCAAAAAACGCAACCAATATTACATAAAACAGGTGTAATCCCTGTAATTTTAGGTTCAGGCAATCTTATATAGATGACGCCACCTGAAAATATCAAATTTATATCGAGCAACGTTGTCATATTGTTATGAAGTATCGGAAGCAAGGAAGTTCGTTATTTCATTACAAAAATTAGGTAAATTGTGTTAAGTCTGGTTTTGGAGAAACATTTAAAACGTGTAGAGATTTTGTAAAATGTTTCATTTTTATATTACAAAATATAAGAACGTAATTTGTCAGATATTAAATATAATGTTGAGTTTTGTTTTTTCTGGCTGGATTTACGTGAAAATTGGAACAAGATGCATGTGAAAACATCGATCCTGGCCTTTCAAATGCATTTGTGGGTTCACAAATTAGTTGAGAAGAGTTAAAAGTAAGAGCAAACTTTTAAGCCAATTTATATTCTTAAAATCAACTGAAAAAGTACTTAAAATATTTATTGAAAATACAATAAATTTATCACACTGATTATTGCAGCATAGTTTAAATTTTATTATTATTATTATCTCTTCTGTATTTTTGTTTACATTGTATGTTTTTTACTTTCCTATCTGTATACAGATAAGGAAAGTATAGTAATCATGATTTTTTTCGACATCGATTTTTTGACGGATTTTTACATTTTGGGATCCCCTGAATCCGTTTTGACTATTTTCGCGATGCTGTCTGTGTGTGTGTCTGTATACTCGATAACTCATGAACGGATAAACAGAAAAATACCAAATTTTAAAATTAAGTCTTATTCCGGCCTGCGGTGAACTGATTAGATTTTGAGCACAGTTGGCACTTGGGGGTACTTTATAGGGGGTAATTTTTATATTTTATGGAATATATTTGTTATTTACGGTTGTAGAAGAAAATTCTTTGAATAAAAGTTAATTCAAATAATATTTTCTACAATTTTTGTTATATACAAAATTTTGCTAAAATGGTTCGTATTCCAGAAATTTGACAAAATGTAAAAAATTCAAATTTTAATGAAAATTATTTATATAAAAGTTGTTTGTGATACAATTTTCTATAATTCTTGTCTTATACATAATTTCTCTAAAGTGGACCGAATTCGAGATATTTGATAATTAGTGTAAATTTAGAATTTTGAAGAAAACTCGAAAGCGGATAAAGAAAAAACATTATTTGTTAAATTGAAGCGTTATTCCGACCTGTGGTGAATTGATTAGATTTTGGACAAAGTCGGAACATCTGGGGACGGGGTTACTTTATGGGAGGTCGTTTTATATTTTATTGAATATATCTGTTATTTATGTTTGGCGAAGAAAATTCTTTAAATAAAAGTTACTTTTAATATTATTCTCTATAATTCTCACTTTTTACAATTTTTTCCATAAATGGACCGTATTCGAGAAATTTGATAAAAGGTGCAAATTCTGATTTTTAAGAAAATTGGTAAACTAAAAGTTGTTTGCAATATCGATCTCTATCATTTTTGTTTTTTACATTATTTCTCTAAAATGGACCGTAATAGAAAAACTGGAGGAAAAGTGTAAAATTAAATTTTTTCAGTGTTTTCATTTGCAGTGAATATATATCGAAAAATGTTTCGAGTTAGATGTATGTAAATGTATATATTTAGTTTATCCTTTAAACATTTACAGAGTTGCTGCAATAGGTTGTACAAAATAATCGGGAAAAGCCTGTAATAACTAGATAGGAAAGTCATGTGTTGGACACATCATATTTTTTCGTAAATGGTTAATTTAAGGTCAATAAAATGAATTATTACTATTACTTATTATTGACCGTTTTCACCGTCGTCAAACATGTTTTGCTTACAACTGTCAACAGTATCAATCGCTTCACTGCTTTTTAAATCATGATGGATAAATAATGGAGGGAATAGATTATGCTTTTATCCTTAAGGCCTACTTAAGCATAAAAGCATAATCTATTTGCGCCACCACAAACAAGAACAAAATGAAATTTAATAAACAAACTCAGTTGATCAACTGCTGGGTAACGTGTAATTATCTATAAAAACACTAAAAAAACACAAAACAAAACAATGATAACTAACAAATAAGCTCAGACTGGATGAACAAAGAACTACTTAATAATATACGAACCAAAATAGATTCAAATGTTTATATTACATTGTCCTAAAAGTTTTATTCTGGTTCATAATAGTATATTATTAAACGAGCAATTTATGGTAGCCATTATTCACGCAAGTCACCCGAGTGAATAATGGCCATAAATTGCGAGTCTAATACTATACTTTGTCCACGACCATTATGGTTTCTTTATTAAATAAAAGTTAAGTGTAAAGTTTTTATTAAACATAGATAACTAACTGTTGTTTTTTCCACTTTTCAATTTTCGATTTTTAGATTTATCGATTTTTTGATTTATCGATTTTTCGATCTAGAAAATATCGTTATGAAAAGTATCGCCTATCTTTAGTTATCTACCGGAATGTGCCAGAATTACAAAAGCGTGAATTATCATAATTCACTCCGTGATATATGGGTACTATATGCTTTTAGTTAGGAGGTAGAATATTGATTTATTATTAAGTGGTCGTGGACAAAATTATTTAAATACGGTCCCTATAGGTTCGATATTCTAATGTTATAGTGTTTGTCTCGTCCTGCGGTACAATAAAATGTTATGAGCACTTTAGATTTGGGAGGGAGGGGACGCTTGTCGGGTCGCCGGAAAGTAGTTTACACAACTTGGAAAACAGGCAGGTATAATTCAACATTTAAATTATTTCGCAGAAGTGCATCTAATCGCCATCTATTGACAACTTAGTTAATTTGTAGTTTTTGTTATGAATTTCCTGGCGTGCAAATTCCGTCTTTAATGTTAATAAAACTCAAGTGATTAAATTTAGTCGTGGCACGGATTAAAGGCT